AAAAATGGTGCGCAAAATAGCATTCATTTTCAAGCGGCGTGATGTCATTGCCCACATTAACCTTCAACGTCTATCTATACCTGTTGTATACGAACGTACAAATCACATCTATTATATCGTATTGGGTTTTGCGGTGTGGCGCGCGGTGGTCCTTTTTTTATCCCACGTTGTCAGCACGTGGAGCATAATGGCTCTCTCAGCAAGGTAAATGAGCCTCTGCCCACACAGACAAAAGCTTGTCACGTAAGCTCCATCACGCACTCCTCTGCAAGGACTCTAAAAACCCACATCACCTCTATTCACTGAAAGGCTAAAAGGTTTGTTTTCCCACATTTTGTACCTCACTATTTCAATTTTGCAGGGAAGGGCTGCCTACACTCTTCACTCCAAGATCTGTTCGCATGTAAAATGCTCTTCTGTTTCCATGTCAACACACACGCAGATAAACTAAATGACAAGTGTTCATTCACTCTCTCCTGCGTTATCTCCGGGATGCTATAATTAGCCAGACAGTCCTCCCCTGACATTCAATAGGAGGATCTGCATAAATCAAGATTCAGTCTTAATCCTCATCTGGCTTAGTTTCAAGAGTTGATGGAGGTCTCGCTCTAAAACAGGCCGTGTGACGAATCCGTTCCCATTAATCGGCAAGTACCTAGTAACTAACACATTGTGTGTTTGCTATGAGTTGGATATGCATCTATCATCTTTCCATTCAACATGAAGTTCAAACGTGTTAACTAAAGTATGCTTCTTCCATGATTCACAATTCCTGATGCGGTTGTTTTACTTATTATTGTACTGCATGTGATGTGTGTGTGTGCGTGTGTGTGCGCGAGTGTGTGTGTGGTTCAGGGGAATGAGCCTACGCCAGCAAAGCAGATGAGCGCTAGTTGAAACAGATGCAATGAAAAGACCTCATCACTCGGTTATCCACAAGAGGAAGCACATGGCGCCACATCGGTGCGCTACATGCAAAACAGATAAATAGCACAGCATACGGACTGGAACATACTGTACCTTTTCCATATGTTGTCGCAACAACTAAAACCTTCTGGCGTGAAGGTTAGAGACCACCAATATTACTCTCTTTGGACAGGGATATGAAAATCATAAAGTCGAATTCATCTTTCTCCCAACATGTGAATGCATCTCAGTAAATTAGAAATAAATATATCGTCAATCATGGAAAAGGTTTGTGTTAATTAATTTCACGTCAGAAGAAATATTTCTTGATTTTGTGTTTCTGTAATTTTGATGAGTAAAGTTTATAGCTACAGAATCCCCAAATTTCCTGAAATTAGAATGCAATATGGAATGTTTAATTCTTAACGCAGCTTTATTTCTTGAGCACTTTTTATAAGCAGCTGTAACAAAGTGTTACATGATAAAGTTCGAACATAAAACCTCAAATACAAAGTCATGTCATTATTGCCACCGCTTATCCTGGCGGTGTTGCCAGCCATTCGCAGGGCACATATAGAGGCAAACAACCATTGACACCACCACTGAGTGGGAACCAATCCCACGCTGCCCCGGACACACGTCAGACGAGTGTACCACTACACTGTCAGTTACTCATACACAACATGATATTTATAACATCAACAAAATCATCGTCATAAAAATGAAAATATTCAATGCAAATATATTTCTTCAAAACCAAACTCCTACAGTGCCTCCTCTGTGTTTTCAAACAAAGTGTCACAGTCCTTGTTGGCCGTCTGCTGTCCCACTAATGGACCGTTGCTGGTTTCAAGGAGCCGTGCGCTGCCTTCATATTGACATTCAACAAGTCCCGATTTATTCCCCCTCGTTCAAAGACAAACATGTTGTCTGAAGTAGTTGGAAGATAGGAGAGGAACACGATTGAAGTCTCCACCGACCATTAGGAAAGCACCGAGATGCTGAAATTGTAATGTCTCAATCACAGCATGCATGATGTCACTCGCATTGGCTGCAGCGCCAGAAGCTGAAGGTTGAATGTAAACAAACAACTGCAGAAGATATTGAACTTCTTGGCGAGTAACGTCACGTTCCCCGTGATGATCAATGTCATTGCAGTTGACAGCAACGTTCCCTCTAAGATGCGTGCGTGAGCAATTGCGCACTTCTCTCACCCTCTCAGCACACACGGTGACGCTGGCGCGCACCACGCACGCACTGCATTTCTAAACTCATTCCTTCATTTCCACCCCAGTTTCATTTACAAACAGGACTATTCCAAACTTCCATGACAGTTTCATTAGTGCGACCGAGGGTGCGCACTCAGTAGTTCAATAACTCTAGTTGGAAGTATACATTGACACACGTACACTCACACTCACCACTGACGAGACGCCGCAGGCGACGCACGGACAGCTCCATTCAGGCAGTCCAAACATGGGCATAGTTTCCGAACCCCTCGAATGAGGCTCTTTCATGCGTTTTAAAGGTCAGGTGACAAGGAATTTTTGTGTTTTATTAAATGGCATGTTTTCCATTATTTATGAGTGGACAATGTGGGACCATAGTTATACAGATTGGCTTACTTAATTATGCTTAAAATAACCTATGTGCTAAAATAAAAGTAAAAAAAAAAAATTGGGACTATTTTAATCTTGCCATAATTCTAAAATTTTGATGTAAAATGGAATTGGTCTTCTGAAATGCATTTTCCAACTTTTTAATGAATCTGTAAAATCGATGAGTTTGATTTTTTTTTTAAATTCAACTCGTGAAATCAATTTGTTTTTTTTAATTCCTTGCCAAATTGTTTACTGCACACCCATTCAAGAAGTTCCAACATTTTTTCATCGATTGAGCTTCTGTATGCCCCTGACCTTCCTTCCCCGTCGTTCTCCTGAAAATCCCCTCGGTTGTTTATTAGCACAGTTGTCTGTCCCCCTGGCTATTTGGTGTTTTGCTACAAGGACAGAACAGATTTTTTTTTTTCTATAGGTGAATAACTATGGGAAAAAGATAAATACGAACAGATTGTAAATTGTGCAGTGTCTGGAATGGATCATGTTTTTTTTCTGCTACAAACAAAATGTTAAAACTACATACAGCTCAGGAAAACACTGGCTAAAGCACCGATCTGGCTGACATTCCAAAAATGAAATAGATTGTCTGTACTGTAGTTGAAGTCACAAAAAGGACATAATAATAATCCAAATGCCAATGGCAATCACAGAGCGAATATTATTTTGGATTACAAAGTCCAATTGCACCTGAAGCTGTTCTTCACTATAAGGCGTCATTGCTCCACATTTGACCAAAAAGCTGAACCTGCAATTGGAGCCATGTTTCAAGTGTTTATAAAAAAGTTGAGCACTTTCATCAGGTTGAATGTTATTCCATTCAGCTGGTGGGAATTAAACATTCCATTTTCAATGACTCCTAACGGAATGAATGTACCGGTACTTAATTTGCACTTAACATTGCCTGCACTGTTCAGCTGCACTTCACAATGGCAACCCTCCACTGATTTTATATATTTAAGAATCACAGTTTATTGATCTGACATGCCCCCTATAATAAATATAACATCTTTGTAGGACAATAATTATCTAATAAGAATTAAGATCGGAAAAGAGATACAACTGTTGCCTCAATACACCAGTTATGCAAGAATGAACCATGAAATGTCAGTGAAATGATTTCAAAGCAAGGACTAATAAAATGGGATTTAAATGCCAATGGCTGATCTAAAGGTCAATATGAAATCTTTCTCATATATTTTCTCGATCCGAATGGAAACACATGATCAGGTACTACAAGCAGCGTGTCCGGAATATTGTAACGACGTTCGTGACTCAACTGGTTCGCAGATTAGGTAGCTTCACAAAACCACGCCGGCAGAGGACCAAACAAACCTTGTGCACCTCCAACAAAAACACATTAAAAGTGACTCACTAATTAGAAAACTGCATAAATAATAAACAGTGCTGTATTATCAGCAAACGGGCGAACCATTCCATGGGACCAAAAGGGTGGAGCGAGACACACAAGCCATTGGTCAGCAGCAAAGCATCATTTGGTTGTGACTATTTTCTTCATCACATGCTTGCCAACAAGTTTCTTTGGCTATGCGTCTGCCTGAATCAAGTCTGTGACATGTGCAGTAAGGCTATATAGTTGTCCTTCGCATGAGAAAGGAGGGGAGGAGTCGAAATCATCAAGATAGAGTAAGCATTTCCATGCATTTCTAAGCACCTGAGTTAAGATGAAAAAAACAACAATCAGTTTGAGAAATTTGGGGGCACCTGGAAATTGCTTGTGTTTGCCTAATGATATTACAAAAACTGTGCATTATATTAGTAGTCCCCAAACACCTGTTGCATTTGGTAGCGGGCTGCACAGAGAGAAAGACAAGGGGGAAAAATAAAACAACACTAATTGTTGTAATCTGTTCTTTTTTTAAGTTGTTGTCTTTAAAACTATGAAGTAACTTCAGAATTCTGCCCTATTGGTGAAAAGAAAAACAATCCATCCTAATGTCACATTACAAGCTATTCAGACACATTAATTTTTTTGCATAACGATGACTTTGAAAGGATCAAATCTAGTATGACAGTACATAAAATATGTGGCACTTGGGCAAAACATTTTCAACCACTGTCAGCTGGCGGCTTTTCCAAATCATGATCGGGCCGAGGCAAAGCAAATGAAAATGTCACAAAAAGTCTCCATTTAACTTGTGATTATCTTGTCTCAGTTCACTCACAAATACACTTAGTGTGAAATCTGGGACTGCTCGGTTGCACACAAAGCTATCATTCCGATACATACGTTCATTGTAACTTCATTCAACAAGCGGATGAGCGTTTAATCATCGTGCTTGTCACTATACCGTACGTCGCTGGCATAGATACAGTAGACGAACAACTATACATTGTAAGTAAAATAATTTTCAGACCAATTATATGGAATTGGATCATGTCATGCACCAAAATGGTGCACAGAAAAGCACACGTGGCCTGACCCTGTGTTTCCAGCGCGACAAAACCGTGACAAACCTGTCGTAGTCCTGGCAGATCTCGCCCACGGCTATCAGAGCCTTCAGGTACTCGTTCGGCTGGTAGGGGTTGATGTAGTGCAAAGAGCAGCTGTTCCTGGGGTCTCCGTTGGAAGCTGTGAAGTCAATGGCCACCTGGCGAGAAAGAGAATAGTGCCCTTTGTAAAACACAGGGGTCAACAACGCAATCGTTTATCTCGAGAAACGATCATGTCAGTTGGTGTCAGCGATCCGTAAATATGCAGAATAAATTATACGATTGGTGCCAAATTGTTGCTTTTTAGACACCCACACAGATTGAGCACAAATCCCCCTCCGTTTGGATTCTGACAAACTTTATGTAACGCGGCGGTGGTGAGCATTAATATTCATTGCTTCAGGAGTCCGACTGATGATAGAAAAGGCGCAAAAGAGGGGGCCCACCAAGGGCACGAGTTGAAGGAGGCTCAGCGGAATCCGTGATGCTGCCTACAATAACAACTGGAACTGTGCACAGGGAAGGAAAACACGTGCGAGGGTGTGGAAAAAAGTTGAACAATTCTGACTCTAAACAAAGCCCATTCTGTCTGATGCAAGCTTATATAGTTAGTTCACGCAATGCAAGCATTTCAAATCGCAGTGATAGAGAGGTGAAAAAAATAACAGTAATTACCGTAAAGTGAATTTGGCATCCACCCATGATGTAATCCAAGAAGGAGTAAACTCTGTGGAGCTGCGGGTGGAAAAAAGAGAAACGAAAACCAGTGGTGATGTTGGAGTGGGTGAGCGCCATCTGTTTTTAACAATCTGTTTAAGGCAAACACCGTCATTTTGAATTTGGTAGTTTTGTTTAAAACAACAACAATAAAAAGTTGACTTTAATGAGATTTGAAGTGCAATGAGAGAAATGCATGCTCGCACAATCACCTCACACAGTAAAAAGTACTGGCTTGTTCTCCAAACTCGCTCACTGGATAGCTTTGGATTTTGAGCAGATTGGGTTACTTTTACCCACGGTTGGGTTCATTATTTTGACCCGGCAAATTCGTGAACACCAACTTCTTTTAGTAAACATCAAATCGCATTAGATTTTTGGGTCAGATTTTATTAATGTATTAAATTGAGTAGGAAAGCAGGTATGCCTAATATTGAGGCTGGTCAGGGTAAGGTGAAGCTAGAATCTTACCTTGACATCATTTAAGATGACAACGCCTGAGTTTTTATAGTTCCTTTTCTTCTGTTTGTACTTAGGGTTCACGCAATCCCATGTCACCTGAAATACAAACCCCCCGACCCCCCCGAAAAAAAGTCGTCAGGCAAGGCACTATGCTTTCACCACTTGTTGAGGCAGTTGTTTGGTCAGTGAGAGGTTTTAGCAATGAGATGCCAATATATAATAAAGATATACACATAACTGTCTCTCCTGCGCCTCTGCTTCACTGACCTTATTTCCACTGGAGATTTTCTGCATTTCTCTGAAAGTAGCATAAAACTCTCCAATGAAGTCGTGCTTCCCCCTGGAGTCATAGTCCCACACGAGGCACTGTAGACACACGTACAACACGGTTTTCTTTTATTCCTGTCAGCAGGACCCCATATTCATCAATTTCCTTTTGTGTTCTATTTCCCTCGACCACCGCATTTGTTACACAGGCACAATCTAATGACAAGCACTGTATCCAAATGATGCCTGTACAAAGATAATAATAATAAGATAAGAATAATATTAATAATGTCAGTTTTGACACCGTTAGCACAATATTAGAGGTTGAACCGATTAGTCAACGCGTCGGCTTTACCACTCCGCATCCATGTTTAACATTTGCAATCATCTAATCACTAATCAGGACTTTCAAACACGTCCATTGTTGGTGTCACGAGACTATAACGTGCTGTGGAGCAGCGAAATGTCCTTCAGCAAGGTGACATACTTGAGACTTGGTAAATCCGTGCGGGTTCGAGAGTAGGAAAATTGGATGGCTGTGGAAGAGCCTAGCGGTAGCCTTGCTAGCTTTGGTTATTTCGATCGCCGCTAGTCTTAATACATTCATACCAGTGGGACCTTAAGACTGGTGACCTCCATCTTCATTTCCAAAATGTTAACTAACAATACACGAACAACAATTGTGTGCAAACAAGAAATTAATCACAGAATTTTCTAATATGTACAAGACAGACCAACATTGCAAATTTTCAATACTGATGACACATGCTGCATGCGTAGAGAGATTTTTTTTACATAAAAAGGACAACTGGAGCAAATCCCTTCTCAAATATAATCAAAGCACAAGTGAGAGAGAAACAATAAAAGAGAGAAATGCTTTTTATTTTTTTAAGTCTGCTAATGATGCCTCATCTTACAACACGCTATGCTATGGAAAACAAGAGAAGAATGGATGGCTAGTTCAAGAGAAATATGCACAAGACTTGCACAAATTATAACAACTACAATTTGTGTAATGGTAAGTTGTATTTTCGACTATGTGTTTTTATGCCCTTGTTCCATGAATATGTATTTACATGCAATCAATCCGTGGGGCCCCCCAAAAATAAAAATCTGTGGGGTTAATGACCACAAAAAAAAAATGTTGAATCCCTACTCTTCATTCTAAAGGCAGAATTTTTGGTACGGCTTTAGTTTCGGCTCATATTACAGTTTGTAAGTCAACCCAATTTTCTGGCCATTGGACAGATGAATATTTCGTACCCCACCAGTTGTTATTTCTCATTTTCTCGCTTTTATGATTCCAGCTGAGCCAAAGCACGAAAACAAATTGTAATATTTTTGGGGGTCATTTACCTTAAGCTTCCTCTCCTCATCACAACTGCACAGGGATATGAGAGACACTTTGAAAGGCTCCCAAACAGGATTCAGGTTGTTCTTTATAACCTGTTTGAGGAGGAAGACGAGACATTCAGCAAAGTAATTGTCAGCGGAGAGTCTGCAGCTGAACCATAAAGATGATCGCTTTACCTCAGTTCTGTGAACAAGCTGCTCCGTTTCATCATCGTTGATACGATATATTTCCAAAAAAGGGTCAGACTTGCTGAAAAGGTCCTGCAAAAGCAGAGAAAGCTGATTACTAAAATGACCGGCCCTCTGGCTCTGAAGAGCAGAAAATGCAATTTGACAGTGATGCCGTTGATATTGCCCGAGCTCGTTCCCCAATTCATCACGTGGCTTCGACAGAGACAACATTACCAAGAAGGGTTAATTAATGACGGGTGATTTCAACAATCATCTCCACGGCATTTGCAAGCAAATATCAGAGGAAGGCTTGTTGAGGTTGATTTATGTTCGCTGATTGCGGAGGCAGATGTTATTGTGTCTGTGATTAAAGGTCAGAGAGAGGCAGCGCAAACATTCCCTGCGCCGCGAGGTGTCTCCTCATTTGGCGAAGCGAGGCTAAATGATCATCGATGTCAGCGTTTTAACACGCGAGCTTCCACATCACGCTTCAACATTGACAATTACATAAGCAGCCACAGATCGTTGTCTCCAGCCAACACACCTCAATTTATAGCTGGCAAATTTGCATGGGGGTGGTGTTCAAGAATTTACGTTTCATTACTTTGGAAAATACCCCCCAAATTATTGACCCTATTGACATGGGTAAGGTGGGTAGATATGATCCACTGTTGAGTGATTGGCTTTTTTTCCATTCTCCGTACGTGCACGTGCGAGTGCGTATGATGTCTTGTACTCCAAATGTGACAGTTAACGCTGCAATTCCCGCCACATTAGCCTGATACATCTCCTGAGGGACAAGAGCATAAGGAGCTGCAGCATCCTGTCGTTGTTGTCATGGCAGCGGGCAGCCAGCGGCAACGGCAGCAGCACGGACAGATCAGACAAGTCCAAATGTAATCTTGGGCTAATTGCAACTAGCTGAATGAATGATCAACTAGCACAAGTCATTATGTGTAAGAAGGACATTTCATTGTTAATTCCCGTGTGTGTGTGTGTGTGTGTGTGTGTGTGTGTGTGTGTGTGTGTGTGTGTGTGTGTGTGTGTGTGTGTGTGTGTGTGTGTGCTGATGACAACAGGTTGGAGTGAGGAACACGTGCCTAAAAACAACAGACCATCAGTTGTTATGCCAGTGTGGGACAAAAAAAAAAATCCCTCATAATACGGTTGATAATTCAAGTCACTTCGGGTTTGTCATTTTGTACCAAGGTATCGCTAAAATGTTAAATGGGTTTCACTTGCCTTTTCCAAACAGTTTCTATTAGCTCTTTCCCAGCATAACATTTCCACCACACAATTTATTTCGGATGATAATGGATGGAATGATCCAGTAAAAAAAAAAAAATAATAATAATAATAATAATTCTCCCAACAACATATCCATAATCTTTATAGGCTAATTTATATATGGTGATGCCTTGAGATACGAGTGAATTCATCCTCACTAAATCCCCACAAAAATAAATGGAAATGCCATTCATCCATTCCATCCTCCTTAAAACGTAAGTTTTGTCATGTGTCTCTTAAAAAGAAGCTAGAAATGGATAATACAATATTGTGCTTTATAAGACACATTTGCGATCGTCACACTTTTTGTTCCAAACTGACTCCGGCCCCTTCACAGGAAAAAGTTCGGGGACCCCTGGTTTAGATACCGTAATTCTTTTGAAATTGAACATTCCTTTTTTAACTTCTTTTTTTGTTGTGGTTGCTGCTGTTCTTGTACTTGGATAGAGTTGTACGTAATTTATGATGCTATTTTTTTCACTGTTAGCATTAATAATTATTCTTTTGGAACAAGAGGGGTTGTAAGGAGCCATTTGATGTCTTTTTAAACATTCTTCCCCATGGTCCAGAGTCCCAAAACATTTCCTGTGTGTTCACAAAACAACATCTTCTGAACATATAGTCTGAGCTCGATATTTAGCATCACATTTTCATGGAAGCTGCCTATTATTTGTATACACGCTGACAAGCTCACAGCTCTCAAAACCTAATTTTTTTTTTCATCAGGTACATTAGGCAGGCAATTTCTTAGAAATATCTGCAGAAATTAAGTTTCAGTTGCAAAAAATTATATGAAGCAAATATCATGCAGGAGAGGATGCGCACGTTGAGGATTTCTAATCAAGGCTCTCTGTCATTGCCCTCAGACACGTGTCAGCTCAGTCCCAGGAGTGGCTATGAATTGCACAAAATAAAATACAGACTGTACAAGTTTTTTTTTGGTTTTTTTTTTTGGGTGGGGGGTCCAGTACTGCTGAGAACTTCAAGCCGAGTGCAGGAAACTCCTCCGGAGAACATGAAGCACTTTCACTGCATCACAGTTAAATTGGATATAAGCTCCTGCTGCCTTTCTGATTGAAATATTCCCTCAGCCAAATACAAAAAAAAAAAAAAAAAAGAGAGAGAAGAAATATTACAATGTGATGAAGAACAGCCCAGGTCAGCATTAGCCATCTCTGGTGTGAAATAAGGTGCGATATAATGCATTGATATGATCAGTATAGTGAGTGGTGCCTTAAGAAACGAGTGACTTGTCTCCAAAGTTTTTCGAGATAAGAGCCTTTGTTCATAAAATAGTTTTGCTTTGACTGGTGAGCAAAAATGTTAAACACAATTCTTCAAAAAGAGGCTTCAAGCTGTTTATTACCACTCCCCGTTGAACTTTACTAAACCTTACATGTGAATTTAAAATAACCACAAAGCTTTGCCTTTGCTGAACCGTGGATCAGAGGTACGAGCGGGCCGTCCAGTAACCGGAGGATCCACTGTTCAATTCCCACTCTTTCTGAGTCATTGGTGTACGGATGCTTGTGAATATTTGGTGGTGGTCGAACGAGCCATGAGCACATACTGTCAGCCACGCTTCCGTTAGCCTACCCCAGGATAGCCGTGGCTACAGAAAATAGCTTATCGCTACCAGAGTGTGAATGTGTTAGTGCTTGAATAATGTATCCATTGTGAACACTTTGAACACATTGTGTCCGTTTGTCCAGAAAAGCAGCATATAAATCTGAGGCATTATTAAATTTCTTCTATTGAGCATAATGCTAGCAAATAATGTCAAACGCCATGGGCCAGCTAACGAATAGCATCTGTGCTAACTCTTACAGCAACGGATGTTTAAACACACAAACAGAGCAGACACATATGTAAATAGACAATATAACAATACTCACAGGCATATATTAATCCTTCGAGGAAAATGACTAACATTAATGCAACTCACAAAGTCATTTGTGAAACTCTTCTTAATTCGCCTCTATGTCTTTATTATACTGCCCCCAGGTGGACAGGGTGCATACACCAGAAGGAGCAGCACAATGTTCTTTGTATTGAAGTAAAAAAAGGTAGCAGAAATTGTGTAATTCTTTACACGCAATTTAATAATGTCCATACTGTATGTTTTTTTTGTTTGTTTGTGGGGGGGGGGGGCTGTAACAGATTAATGGCATTTCCATTCATTTTATTGGGGAAAAAAATGTTCGGTGTCGTCCCCATATAAACTAAATTCTTATCTCAAGGCATTATATTAACTCAATTCCGGCAGACATTTTGTGACAGCTCTTCCACTGAATCACATTAGATTGTTGAATGATAGGTGTACCTAACGTTATGTGTTGAACATCTTTTTTTTTTTTTTTAAATGTGTGCTCCGCTCACCTTATCATCAAGCTTCTTGGCACAGAAGGACAGCTCCACATAGCCATTGTTGCCGGAAATTTCCTCCGCATGCACCTGACAGGAGATAAGATTTCATTCTATAACATTTCACAGTTAAGACTGTCGGCATTCCTTGAAAAGATACACAGGATCTCAACTTGTCAAGTAAATGTCATGCTAAAAATGGCAATTGTGCCGTGTCAATGCAAACAAGACCGATAGAAAACTTTTTTTTTAATTGTCTTTCGCAGATAGAATTGTGATTTAATTGCCTTTGTTCCAGCACCTATAACTACCTTCACTATTCCACCCCAAACTCTTCATCGATCATAATCATAAACTTGATGCATGGCAACAGCAGACCAATTCACCCGGGACTGGTCACCAATCACAAGCAGGACACGTCAATCATTAACTGTCCATTTTCACACTGTAACTCAATTTTTTTCTTGAAAAGAGCGACCTTAGACGCCGTCGTGTCGTAGACTGTGGATGTGAAGCAGCCGTTTAATTAAACTTTTAATTAAAACCAGCTTGCTGGACATTTAAAACAAGACATGAGAGCATTGAAGGGCTCCGCTTTATGAACGTATCAGTCTTTGAAAGGGATGGAGGAGGTCCACACCTTGAAAAACACATTCAATGGACCGTTGCCTAATAGCTGCAATAGCTGGGGGTACTATCCAATGCAGGTTGAACAAATACAAATGTACTAATATATCTTGAGAATGGTGCTTCGAGAACATTTAGCACACAAGATTTAGCTGACTGTAATCTATATACTGTATTCGAATCTGTATGTATGATTTTGAATACCACCGTTCTTGTTCGGGGTCATGGGGGAGCTGGAGTCTATCCCGGGTTTACTCACATTCACACCAGAGGAGAATTGGAATCTTTTAACCTTGCCACCATTCGGTTAACCGTTGAGGTTTTCGGAAACCTGGGCGGACGTGCGGATGTACCGGGAAAAATACCTCCGCAAGCAAACAACATGCAATGCCCATACAGAGCTGAGTCAGAGTCAAAAGAAACACAAATGTGTACCGAATTAGGGTTTGTAAAAAAAAATCATGGAAGCCGAAGAATGAATCATCAATTCAACCCTCGAAAAACATCGTAAGAAGACTCAAAAGAATGGGAAATTCAGAATTTACATGAGTAATGCAATAAAAGTTCATGAGGACAAATTTTACAATTTGTGTTGATTAGGACCTGCCTGTGTCAAAAGAAAAGGTGTCAAATTAGAGTGAGTATATCTGCAGCAGAAAGTCCTGACAAAGTAATGCAAGTTGAAAGGACTTGCCGTGATGGTGGATTTGCCAGCATATTTTCCATACTTGAGAAGTAGAGGCTTCACCATTTTCTTTTGGGCCACAATCTGCAGAAAGCACAGAACGATTGGCTCGAGTGCACATCAAAAAACGCCGGTGAGTCATGCGACTCGTGGAAGATGATTGGTGTGCCATTCACACGTACCTGACCGAGTGTGCACTCCACACCGCCCAAGAAGTCATCGTCACGCGTGCCGATGCTGTGAGTGCCGTGGATGTCGTACACTTCGAATCGCAGCTTCTGAACCTCTTCAAAGTAGTAATCCAAGGAGAAAACCTTGGCGAAAACAGGGTGCAAGTTGCTCTTGATCACTTCTGTCCTGTCCAACTGAGAGAAAATATACCCAATTCAACTTTGGCACGCTGCTGACATTCCATTTTCATCAATCACGACCGAATCGAAGTCAGAAGGGAGAGACAGCCTTTGGTTGAACCAAAGGGTCACAACTTTGCAATTATATTCTCACAAAAGAAAGAGACAAAGTCAAACAAATGTTCTATTACTGAGCTGGACCAATCTCTTATCGCGCTCAGTCAAGAGGAAGATATGACAGATTGGAGGATTCTGACATTTCATCTGAGCGCACAGGCCACGTCCGTGTCTGCCTTTGACTGCCTGACAAGAAAGCTGAGCTCTCCGCGGCTCCGTCTGCTCATCCTGCAACGTTTTTGCTCTCCCTATGCGTCAATATTTAGCATTAAAACAGAGACACACCTACAATGTTTCTCAACTTTGTAGACTAATGAAACGATCATTTTCTCCAAAGATGCACGCCAGGTGAACCGAAGACTCCAAATTCCCCATAGGAGTGAATGGGAGTGTGAAAAGTTGTTTACCACTCTGTGTTTGTTTGTATTTCAAGGAAAACCATCACATGGTTTCCAAAAATAAATACATTGAAACAAAATGACAGCTTTTCCTGGAGTGCCTCAAGGCCCTTTTCGTATGTATTGTGATGATTTCCCTGGGGTGTGTATGAAGAAACGTTCATCTCCCTCCTCATCACAGCAACACACACTCACATCTTTACAGTACCAATTAGTGATTTTACCCTTTGATGTAAACCTGGCTGTTTATGAGCGACTTAACAAGATGAACTTTTCATGCAGATTCCGGGGTGTGTTAGAAGAACCCATTCAACTTTGGTGGGAATCTTTTATTGTTTTTTTATTCTTTCACTTCTCGTCAACATTGCAATAGGGTTCTCCCCCCCCCCCCCCTCAATTTATTTTTGAAGAAGAGCATGAGACATGTACAGGCATGTGCAAGAGGGGAATCTATGATGTATATACCGGTAATTGAATGATAACCAAAATTTGACTGTCGTCATGTTGGAGGTCTGCAATCAACAGTGCCACACCCGTCCAAATTGTTTGAATCTTAAAATCGGTTTTGATTTAAAAGATGTGAGTGCATCGAATTGAACCCAATCAAATTGTTCCACTTGATAATATGAGTCTAATCGTCTTTGATTGGAGAGACATACCTTTGAAGGTAATGCCACATTTACAGCACTGATAAGTCCATTTATATTGTAAAATAACAACAACAAAATAATTGTCACGATCAAATTTGACGCCAAAGGTGAGTGGTAGAAAATGCCCGCGGTACGCCGGAACGGCCAGTAAGGTACAGGGCGTCTGCCAAATTTCCAAACGCCATAAACTAGACTTGCCACAGCGCAAAAATGAAAATGTGGCCATTTTTTATGCTGCGTGCATGTGCGCCTGTCTATGAAAATAGAGCTTTTATTTAATTTACTATCACTTTCTTCCAACCAGAGAATCATGCTTTTGGGTCCTCTTTTGCACCCTTGTGCCTAAAAGCATTAGTTTCATTTTAGACATTGCTGTAGCTGGAGCACAAAAACAGCAAATAGGTGAGTTATTCAGTAAATAACAGAGGATGTGTTCCACAAAAAAAAAAAAGAAAAAAAATCATAAATATGTGGAGGTTTATCGAAATTTCTATAATGAGAAACAGCAGCTAAAACCACATCTCTTCATCGTTTCTTTCCTCACCATCCTCCTCCTCATTTTGTGCCATCTGGATGGACAGATTTGGGATGAGTTTGATGAGTCTGTTTGTTGATGACAGTTAATCTAGGCAACAGAGGATGGCTCGTGCCAGAGAATGGGATGTTGTAGGTATGAAGCCTCCGCTACAGACACGTCCCTGCCATGGGAAAATTAAAGTATCCTTGAACCAATTCTTCTGAAAGAGTTTTATCTGAATAGTTTGATCAGCAACCAGCCTTGTACCATCTGACATGCATCAACATCTGTTTTTTTTAACACATTCATGAGCATGGACACACGAAGGTTGTTTACATGCGCACATCTGTTGGTTGGCACCGAATCAAAATGAGCCTTTCATCTGGAAATTAACCAAAGCAAAACGGAATGGTTTCTAGTTTAAGAAGTGTGGTGGCGATAGATCCAGTGGGTGTAAAAAATCTACGCACCCCTGTTCAAATGCCAAGCCTTGTGAGATTAAAAAATAAATAAAATTAGATGTACATGGGCCGAGAACCAAATTGCTCATCACCAACACTATACCGACATTGCAGCATGGTGGTGACAGCATCACACTATGGGCCTGTTTTTCTTCAGATGGACTTAAAGCCATAGTGAAGGTGGAAATAATTATGAACAGTTCAAAACAACAGTCTGTATTAGCAGAAAACCTACATGATGCCGCTAGAAAACAAAAAAATGTCAGGAAAAGCCTACTAGAACCGTTGAACTTTATTTGGGGTTAATGAACGGCATTTGAATGGTGGCAGGTGTGTGCTGACTTCCATTTAGCATGACTTTGAATGTGACGGGTTAATTCTGAACATAGCTCCATCACAGTTATAAGAGGGTTTGTGCTGGAATTTTTTTTGAAATGATTTGTCATGGTCTGCCCTTTAATATCACAAAAACCTGGCTTTTGAGTGTGGAGAATTTTTACATTCAGTGTAGATATTCTGCTGCGTTCATGCCACACTGAACTCAGGTCAGTTATCCCATCTGACAAGTGTCTCTCAGATTACAGCCAGAAAAATCCATATCTTTCCTCATTGCTCCACGCCAAGTGTCCCCCCCCCCCAGCACTCTGAAAAATAAGATCTAAATACACCACATTTACAAGCAGTGAGTTAAACTTACAGTTATGAGATTCAGTTTCCCTTAAACAGTTTTTTTAAATGCCACTGTAAAAGAATGATTAACTTGTAACTGAATAACCTCATTGTTTTTGGCATTTGCCCAAGACTTAACAGGGGAAATGACAGACTTGCCTCCCACACTCCGAATCAGCCTGGGAGCAGTCCAAGAAAATAAACGTTCAAGCCAGAGCACAACTTGAGCGCGCTGTATGTTAACAAGTCCATTTATTCACAACATCACGTTTAGAAGGAAATGGTAAGAAAAGCCGAGCAGGGTAGAATCTGAACGAAGGCACACAGAAACAACAACCAACAATGGAGAATTTAAAGTGTTCAATTAACATAACGTGCATGTTTTTGAAATGTGCCAACTGAACACAGTAACGATTGAGCCAAGTTTCGAACCCTGAACCTCCACCACAACTATTCCAACATGCTGCTGGGCCAGAAAAAAAAATTTGAATTGAGTAATTTTGTGTTTAACATAAAAATAAGTACATAGCTTTATAATAGTGGTGCCTTGAGATATGAATGTACTTTTTTTTGCAGGGGGGCGGTGAGGGGAAGGCTGTAAGGGCTTAATGTAACATTTAAAGAGTTCAGAGATTTTATGTTTTCTGAGGGAAGACTCCCTATCCCACACACTACTGATATGAACAAAGCATGCAAAAATAAGGAAAAAGAACCAAAAAAAAGAGTCTCACCTCTGTCCACTGTCCGTTGGTCTGTACCATGAGAATCACGCAAGGGTCTGATTTATTCAGAGTGTCTCGGTCTAGTAGAGCTTTACAAGACACCCGCAGCTCTACTTTGGAGACGCAGGTCGCCGGACCACCGAGACTGGTGGCGGGGGAGGTGGCCTCCTGAATGTCATTCATTCTGGCCCGGAGACGAGAGGAGCGGCCAAGCGGCAAACAACTAGTAGGAGATGATGTGCTCTCTAACTGTGAGGGATGAGAACAGGAAGCCGTTAGGCAAAGGATCCTGACAACAGACGACTTACCAGAGATTCACATTTAGTCCCAATAGGGACTTTTGTGGGACATATTATCTTACCTCCTATGAGGGATGGTTGGAAGTGGGCTTTTAAGGGATACAAGGATTACATTCTGAGATGAATAGAGTCATCTACCTATCTCTGTCTCCACAGATAGAAAGATTGATGGACAGAAAGATGATAGATAGATAGATGGATAGATAGATGGATGTACCTGAAAATATCAGGTCACTTGTATCTCAAAGCGCCACCCTTTAAACCGGTTAAAAGACAAGTCTATCCATCTGAAGGTAAAGTATTTCCATCTGGCTTTAGGTGGAAGAAGGTGGATACCGTGGACTGACACAGAGGAGAGACACTGGCAGAGAGAACATGGAAACTCCATACAGATACTAAGCTGGAACCCAAGGCAACAGTCCAAACCACCACTTCATCATGCTTCATTTATATGCATTCATTACTATATACTGTGTGTGTACATATATATATATATATATATATATAGACTGGTATTTATACACACCTTGGACACACACATACTGTAGTCGCTGATGGTGTAATGGTACAGTCGCCTGACTTGTGTGCGGGGAGCATGGGATCGTTTACCACTCAGTGACGGTGTGGATGTGGGTGCGAATAGTTGTTTGTCGCTCTATGTGCCCTGCGACTGGCTGGCGACCAGTTCAGTGTGTAGACTGCCTTCCGCCTGAAGTCAGCTGGGATAGGCTCCAGCACCGCCCTGCGACTACCTTCTGGATAAGCGCTGTTGAAAAGGGATGTGTGTGTGTGTGTGTGTGTGTGTGTGTGTATGTATATACACACACACACACACACACACACACACACACACACACACATATACACACGTGCATGCACTCGCATATATAGTTACTACAGGTCTCTGCTGCCCTTTAAATATAATGTAGCAACAGGTACAGTACAGACAATTAGCCACCAGAACTTCACATGCATATTTTTGCTGGTGCAGCACCAGGGACAGTGCCCGGAACCAAATTGTGACACAAAAACTACTCCGAGAAGCTTTGCAAAATCCGCAATTAACCACAAAACTGGCAAGCAACACCAAGTGAGTCAAAAAAAAACAAAACAAAAAAACAAAAAACAAAAAAATACACACACACCTCAACATACACCGCTCTGCTTTCAACATATGAGAACAATATTTCTGGTATAGACATTGAAAGACATCTACTTACTTATTCGTCCAGGAGCTCAAAAATGCAGACTCCTCATTTCCTCAGTGAAACACATTCATGTCACTCATCGCTCTTAATTTACTCTCCTGTAGTGTGCCACTTTTGAATGATCTTCTGTGAAGCAGCAGCTTCATTTGCCTCCCTCATTGGTCACCAGGGCGTGTGGAAAAAACGGACAGAAACAGAGGGAGGGGGGAGGGAGGGGGAGAGAAAGAGAGAGAGAGAGAGAGAGAGAGAGAGAGAGAGAGAGAGAGAGAGAGAAAAGGAGAGAGAAAGAGAAAGGTTGGGCTTGTTCCCTTACACTCGATGAGTTGGAGTCTGAAAGCAAGCCTGCATGCTTGGTAAAAGACATGAGTTGTGCAAATTTACACAAAATGCTCAAATAAAAAGACAAGAGCCATTAATGCTGTGATCTCTCCAAAACACGACAAATACAATTGCAAGCCCTCCACATCCTTAATTAATGTGAATGCTCATCTGTAGCGTTAATCATTTTAACTCATATGCCAATAAAACCGAAGCCATGTTGCTTCTACATTCGTCTTGTGATGCGAGCCAAAAGCTGCCGGAAATGCCAGAGCAGAACAGAACATTAGGTACACCCATACATTCTCAGATCTACTTTAATACAAGAGATGTGTACATTTCTTTTATTAATTGACCCTGGCAAACTGCAAGCACAACGGCAACAGAAATGTCGCCGTATTTAACTTTTTCACTATTTAAAGAGTCCCCCGTGACTCTTAAGACCAAGCGGTGCATGTTTCTGCAAATGTGGTGAATACATAGACAGTTCTCAAGGCTGTTTCAAGCTCCCCTCGTTAACAGCATCCCCACTGTCCCAGAGAAATGTACATTTAGATGACTTGGCTTCTTTTACTGTTTCAAGATTCCGCCAACAGGTCCATGTGGACGAGACGTGGACCTCCCACACCCCAGCATTCATGACGTCACCCGCTGCGAGGCTCGTCTATCATTTAATGGCAACATGTTACGTAACGTATTGTTTCCACACAGTGTTGATATATGCTTCGCAATACACCCACAAATGTATTCTTTTATGAATGTGTCGCAATGCATTGCGTTATATTTTTTAGACTGTATGGGAGAGGAGAGAAAAATGCCACTTTTTGAGATGTTGCCAAGTGGGCCGTAGGTGACCAAAGACAAATGAGAAAGTGGCTTCAAATTGAGACCAAACCACAATTTTGGAGATGAGTCACTCAAGCCGGCGTGCTATGCCGGGGAGAAAGTGGAGACTTAATTGAAAGCACTTTCTAACAAATCCTATTTTCGGTGGCCTTGTGCTGACAACACGTTTGTTTTCTCTTACTTTTCCACTTTGAAGGATTCGTCTTGAGTGCAGCTGGCAGCGTCATTGGCTCCACTCCGCCAATTAGTCAAATAAAAACATGCTGCTTCGGGAGGCTTGTTTTTTTTATCCTAACACTGTTGCGACAATTTTTCATTAAATAAACACGTAAGTTTTGTCATTTTAAAAATCATAACCACAAAGTGCAAAATAATTTGCATGTGATTGTAAGCGCGGATGAGTATTCATCCCTGCGATTGGCTGGCAACCCATTCAGGATGTACCCCGCCTACTGCCCGAAGACAGCTGGGATAGGCTCCAGTACGCCCGCGACCCTTGTGAGGATAAAGCGGATCAGAAAATGGATGGATGATTTTGAAAAAAAAAAAAAAAATCACAACAAAATAAAAACTATCAAGAAAAATCCCAAACGATTGTAACCCCGGCACACACACAGCTTCCATCCCTGCCTAATCGTTGAGTGAAGCATGTGCTTGGAGGCACACACCTGAGCCCAGCAAAAATGAGGACCATCTGAGCCCCCTCACAGGATGTTCTCTGCTCTTACACATGGTTTATCGACGCACACATGCACCCCTGCGGCAGGTTCACATCCTTGTTGTCACTCGAGCAATCTCGTGTGTCTAATGTTGCGTTTGAGTGGCATCCCCCTGCAGTAGCCCCGCCGGGCTCAAAGGTTAGATATAGAAACATGAACGTTTGCAAGTAATTAAAGGACTTAATTGACGCCAATGTTTCACAAAATAGGATAAACATTGCGCCAACCGAGATGTAAATAACAGTAGTACAGTGTTATTTACATCTCGGTACTAGTAGTACATGACCAGGCTTGGTTTTCACCAGGACATGGTCAGCAGCATTCTTACCTTCCGTCATCATCATATAGCCCTCCTTACCTACAAATACTATTTTTTGAGACAACCGTGACGGGGTCAAATCAAATATGACATCACTTAAGCAGCCTCAATGGCTCCACATGATACAAGGAATTCTGATGTCTACACAGGTTAACCATGACTGAACAATTGCGGTCAACAGATGGGCCCCAGTGATCTCACATGCACTACTTTTATGTACACTTGCATGAGCAAAAGTCCTGCCTATAGATGCTAATCTTGCAATTGACAGTGTCAAGAAAGGTATATCTATGGAGTATGAGGGACAACTATCTTAAATTAGGCCTCATTTTATAAGACTCTTGGTCAATGTCTCATTAGATTGTGAATGTGATGCTGAATTACCAAAAAACAAACCCCTGCGCACACAACTTTTGAGATTTTCTACAAGATACAAGGTTGTGCCAAATGCTGATCTACCTTTCCGTAATTTTTTTGGTAGTAGTGTCCTGACACTTCACAGGTCCTTTCAGGTTTCTGTGCAATTCATACCAAGCGCCTCTCGAAGTCACGACCACTTTGACTCTTGCGCCATCTACTGACATCAAACAAGTGTTGCAATGTATGCACGTTTTTTTCCCTGAGACTATTAGAAACTCCACTTTGGTTGTCATTTCAGGTTTCCTTCCAAATTGTGGAGTTTTGGAGCACTCTTGTCCAGTCCGCATAAATTTGCACTGATTCTGTGAAACCAACCATTTAGTGAAAGAGAGTACAGTGCTGTCTTCAATTATGTGGTTGTCCAGGACCTTGGAAAATATCTGGCATCGGGTAAGACCCTCAATCACGACAGTCTCAGGTTCATCTTTTTCAATACTTTATTTTGCAAAGTTCCGAAGTAACAACTATTACTTTTTCTTCTCCACATCCTGCTCAGCAGCCTCTTTGGCTCTCTTGGCACGGATACCGAAGAGACGTGCGTGAGCGCGGGCCATGCGCAGGCTGGCGAAAGCCTTGAAGTTCTTCTCATCTTCAGAGATAATCCGGGCCTTCTCCTTCTTGTGCACCTGGAAGGAAAAAAAAAAAAAAAAAAAACGATCAACACCTGCTCAATGTGTTTAACAATGCTGCTCAAGTATTTATTTGTTTTTGGAGAAATGCAGTCATCAGAAAAAGGGGTTCAAAAGTATCATCAATTAAATACAGAGATTCCGGAGAAATTGTCGTCATCTGACTGCACCACTGTAAATGAAACTTAAGACAGGCTTTCCCCATTCTAATTATATAGCCTTTGAACAGTGTTAACTCACAGTTTTGATGGGCATCACTGGTCCCTTGAGCTGGGTGGCCATCTTCAGTTCCTCCTCCTGAACACCCAAGAGTGTTACTACAACACGAAGACAACTACATCCCTCGACCTATGCACAACTTTAAAATATTGGCTGTAAATTTTGCCCGTTACGGGCATCCAAATTAAGTACCCACACCCAATTTCGGTTACTCATTATACAGCAAGTGTCGTATTTTAACCCAAAAAAAGCAAACACATTTCAGTGTCACATTCAGTGTCATTCTTTTTTTTTTAAGTTACTTATACAGCTTAAAATAATAATAAAAATACTGGACGTTGGTGTCGGCAAAACCAACGCTACGGAACCCTTAATGCCACTTGAGGAACTTACAGTGCTGTCTCCCTTCTTAGGAGCAGAAGCCTTCCTGGGGAACAGGATGAGCTTAGAGCGGTACTGTTTGAGGCGCTGCACGTTGGCCTGAAGAGATTCTGTGGACCTGTTGCGGCGGCGGGGATCCACAGAGATTCCGATGGTGCGGGCTGTCTTTTTGTGGATGCCGGCAGCCTACAAGGTGGAGCATTGTCTCAGTCAGAATGCTTCAGATCTGTCAGTTGGGTTGCCATCTTAACCGGGGGTGAGGGTTGATCTTGTTTTGTTTTGTTTTTTTTTTGACAGAAACAGTCATCAGAAAAAAGGGTTCAATGCATTCATCAAGAAAATACAGAGATTCCGGAGATTGTCATCATTTGACTGTTTAATAACAGAATGAGATTCAAATGCAGATCATTTGCTTAAAAAAAAAAAGTTTTAAATAATAAACCTGCACTTTTGACACGTGCATTTATATTTATATGACAGTTAAAAAATGGGTTAGGGGTCCATAATGAACCCATAAAATTTCTACCGTTAGATTTCAAATAAAATTGTTTTTAGAACGAGTCCCAACTGTGGCATTTTATGTATTGTTCTGTGCATAAGAGTGCTACACAATTACTTAGGATTAGTGGCGCATGCTATCTATCATACATGCTGATAGCGTGAAACTGATCTATCCAATTTTTAGTTATAGTTACTTTTTAAAAACAGACAATTCTGTCACTCCATTTCATTGCATATTTTGGTCTACTAACAGCATGGTACAGGGAATAAGTAACGTAACAGGGATCACCAATAAGGACAGTTCCAAACATTTTGTCAAGCAAAACCGATCCATTTGGCGTTATTGCAAAGATTGTGTGCTTCTATTAGATATTTTAGACTCATTATAAACTCGTTATCTGAAGCATAACGTCTCAAGAAACAAATTGCTTGTGGATTACCTTGAGCTCCTCCAGGGTGAAACCACGTCCAGCACGGACCCTAGTGTGGTATCTGATGGTGGGGCATCTGACTTGTGGCCTCAGTGGCCCAGCGACAGGACGGGGAGCGATGCGACGGGCCTTGGCCTGGCGAGCCTTTTGCCTGACGAAAGACAACGCTCGGTTAAACTTTCACAAACCATAAAGACCTGCATTTACAGTACACAGAAATACACTGCTCTATTAACATTCGCCATGAATAGTGTTCTCCATTATTTGCAGAGGACAGAGACCAAGTCCTGTCATGGACAGCAAAAATCTGAAACAATTGTCAAAATTTATAACTGCCTGTAGTAATCAGTGACACAGCACTACATTAATTTGTTCCGGCCGTACACACTTTTCATGTTTTCTCGATAGCGCGATCACTTGCATGTATCGTTTTCTTGGGAGACATATTCAGGGAAAATTTATAGTGGGGAAAAAATAAACATTACCTGGGTGAAGTACACGACAGACTGATCAAAAGACCTTGATGCTAGACAAGTGAGCATTACACATGGATTTCAGGAAGAATATGATGGACGCCCACAATTCGATAGGGGCCCAGTCAGACCATGCCAATTCCAATGGCAAATAATTTTTTCAAACACAATCTGTGAATGCTGATCCCAAAATATCCGCATCTAATTTTTCATTTATGTAAAAAATGACGGTTATGAGATTTTTTTAGTATATTGTAGGCACACAACAATACAACGCATACCTCCGTCATTGCAGTAAAATAAAAATAATAAAATTCCAATATGTTCCGGTTTGCAGACTTTGTAGTGCCAACATCACCTATAATCAATATCATCTTCTCTATGTAACATACATTGAAAATCACTTGAGACAAGTCAAGTAGAAACACGCAAAATGTTCTTCCTAAATATGCCAACTCAGCGAAACGTCTTTGCCCGCACACACACTCACCTGCGGAGTTTCCTAGCTGGCTGGTTGAACCAAGTGCGGACTCTTTTCTGCCAGTCTTTGTGGAAGTGTGGGTTCAGGATCATTCCATTCCGGCTGGGGGCCATGGCTGCCTACTTCCCTGAAACGCAAGCACGAGACACAGGCATGAGAAAACTTCCATGCCAGTACTGTCCCACCATGCATTTGCCCCAAGCAATGGCTGACAGACAGCAAGTTAGCTAGGCTAGCGGTAGATCTATTGGAGACCGACATGTTTGTTAGCTACTTATACAAGTGAACATGGAATGGAATTTCTGCCCAGTGTATGTTCACTCGCTCACACACTCATTCGTTTATTTATTAACAAGGTTACATCTTTTAATTTTGTAATGTCAGCAGCAACAGTAGCAGACACGCTACGGTCAGTGGACATCACCATGAAAACAGCCGCTTAGAGAAGCCTCAACTAAAATTCTCCAGTCAATAATCACCTAATCTCAAAGGTGACAAATCGCACTACTGAGTGGAACAATTTAAAATGAGAAACGCTTTGTCTAGGTTTTGGATTGAACACGATTCTACAAAAACTAGCAGAGGATATTTTTCATACCTACAAGGGAGGAAAATGGCCGAAAGGAAAAAGGAAGAAGAATTGTGGTGGATTGTGGGATAGGCGTCAAACAGCCAATCACCGAGCAGTAGTCTAGTCAAAGAGTATGTACAGCGTCCAGACCTACCTTTCTACGGTTGTTTGGATACGTGTACTTTTTTTTGTGCTCAAAATACCTGATTTTGAGTACAAATTCAAAGAGTCGTACTACAAACGAAATACAACGTAGAGTAGTGTGCTACACACACTGACCCTTTCGTTGGTTAGAACGCGTAATTTAGGTTTGGCAATTATTACGTTCCACATTGAAGCCGTTTTGCTGTCAGTAATGTGTACGGTCCACAACTTATTGTTGATAATAGGAGACGAACATCCATGTTGTCAATAACAGAATCCTTTTTACTTCTGTTTAATTGTCTATTTAATGATTATTGTTTGTTATGTTGTAAAATATAGAGTGCTAATTTTCACATTGCAAACAATTTTGGGGGCTGGAAGGGATTAAAGGCAAAAATGATGAGATTGCGTGTTTTGAATTATTAACATGGTCAAACTCATATCAAGACACCACTATATTTGCTTATGAAAATGCAGACTTTCGCAGAGCTCAGTCACGCTACTAACATTGGACAAATGCAAATACTCATTCCAAAATTCCATAGGCTACATATATTATTAGGGCTGCAACTAAGAATGATTTAAATAATTGATAAATCAGTTGATTATTTTAGGATTTGCAGTACACGATCAATCAAATTTAAAAAAATATATTGAGGATTCAGTTCCTGGTTCGAACATAATTTAGAAAATTGGCAAAAAAATTGCTAGTTTATTTGACACGCACACGTACACACACAAACACACACACACACACTCTCTCACACGTACACGCACGCGCGCGCGCGCACGCCCGCACACACACACACGGAGGCAACAGAAATTTGGAGATTTGCTGTTGAGAAGCTGATATTCTGAGGATTGGGACAATTCTGTTAAACAAGTAATTTGTCGATGAATCGTTGCAACTCTGCTTATTATTCAGTTTGTCTTAAAACCAAGACCTGCAATTTTAAAAGCCAACACCAGTGGCATAATGTTGATAAAAATGAACCGCTCTGATAAAGTTGCGGTCTTCCCTTTGAACACCAGAATGTGCAATAACTACCGGTCATCATGTCATTCATTTAGTGATTTTAAAAGCGCTGCCTCATTAATCATTAATCAAGTGGCCTCTGTTCTCTATTCCTATCTGGACCTAAGAGGGCAAGGGTCAAGGTGCATGGACTGTAGGCACAAGAAGCACCTGAGTCAAGTACACACACCAACACCTTCATCAGCAAAAGCGTTTTGTTTTTTTTAACCGATTGCATGTTTGCTTTTGTACCAGTTTCACTGTTCCAATTGTTCAAATCGTGTTTGAATATGTGAAAATAAACTTGGAACACCTGCGGGCATTTCTTCTCAAACAATAATGACATTTTATTTCATGAAGGTGACAGTGCTTACAATTACTGTCTAGTTTTCCATCTCATTTGTGCATCCAAGAGCACCCAACAAACTAGACCCAACATTCCTAAAAGCCCTTATGTGGTTTTACTAACTCCATCAATCTATATATTCGAAACAGACACTATTGACAGACAAAAATGATTATTATAGCACTGTTTCTGTATGAAAATAAATATTACAGAGAATGAGGGCTGTTGCGAGATGTTACTGAAGTACAAAAGTAGCACAGCGAGTTGAAAGATTTATTATTCCAGCGATTTGATAAAATTATCATATGCATCTTGATCCATGAGGCCTTGCAGCTCTTCCGGCCTTTCGATGGTCATCTTGATGAGCCAACCTGCAAAGGGAGAGGTCAAGCTCGAGGGACGAGTGTACACGTTTTCTGCCGCGCATGCTCTTGGGGCTCACCGTCTGTATAGCAGGCTTTATTCACCAGTGCAGGATTGTCGGCCAGCTCGGTGTTGATTTCCTTCACTTCACCTGTCAGCGGTGAGTAAAGCTCACTTGCAGCCTTCACGCTTTCCAAGGCACCAAACTCCTCTGCAACGCAAACACGTGGGTAATGTCACACACGCCTTATCTCACGGCACGCTTTTGCAGAAATGTCAAGCGTTGGCCGGGCGTACCCATTTGCTCAAGGCTTTGGCCCACTTCAGGGAGTCCGCAGTACACCACATCGCCTAAAGCTTCCTAAAAATAAATAAATAAATTAATAGCCAATACAGTAAATGAATTTAAATGAATGGAAATTCCTTTAATCTGTTCCAGCTTTCCCCCCAAACTACAACTGTTCAATTGTGTAATTTAACTCATTCAGTACCAGCCAATTCTAGACCCCCCCTTTTTTTTTACCCTAAGTCTTGGAAAAATTGAAAAAAAAAAGTATCTGGGGTTGAACGTGTGGAGTGTGAAAAGACATAAATATGTCTTTGGGAGTGAATGAGTTAATATTGAAAAATAGCACTGATAATACTGTATTTTATAAAAAACATACAGTCATGACATAATGAAATAGAATGAAAAAGAATGAAACCGTTTTTTGTTTTTTAAACCGTTTGCCTATTATCTGAAATGCTATAGACCAAACCAGTGACTGAATCATAATTCATTTGTGAATGTTTGTGTCTATTCACTGTCAATTTGAAAAACCGTGGAATATGGATTTTTCGCTATTGGGACCGGGTCTGGAACATTTCCCAAATGATAAACAGCGGCTCACTGTACGAACAAAGGAATCAAGCAAAGCCTGAAATTTGGTCCATAATGTTGGGTGACATTGGTAATCTCAATTTGTAAACACGTGACTAAAAACGAATAATTCTTATTAACCACGTGAACTGTACTGCTGTGACTATGTGGCGCGTCTTAAACTCGCTGTGAATGACATCACTTAGCCTTGAGTAGGGAGAGTTTCAAAAGATGTCCAGTTCAGCGTACCTCCTTCAACAACCACTCTAAGTTCTGTCACGACTGCCTACGTAACCTTCAAGCAGCTGCTCAAGTAGCCCTCTCCCTCTGCCTTTGTCTCTCCTTTAAATGAAGCTCAAGTGTTTTCTGAGTTTGCTCACATGACATTTCATTTCATTGAACTGAATACAGATTGAGGCATAACTGGTTGGATGTCATTCACCACAATTAAAAAAAAAAAAAAATGACAAGGAGAAAAGCTTCCAACCGCAATGTCACTACGAGACAAGCTAACAGTGAGCCTAACTTCTTGTGCAATGATACCTTGAGTTATGACTTTAATTAGTTCCGTAACTGAATTTAGAACTCAACACATTTAAAATCAACATTCCCATTGAATTTAAATGACATGTAATTAATCCGTTCCAGAAAAAAAAAAGTTGTTTTTTTTTTTAAAAAGAAAAAAAAAAGCGGTGCATTGTGTAAAAATATAACAAAATAAAAAGGACTTATGTATGTAGTGTAACTGCTTTACTTTCGGACAAGTCCCCCCCCCAAATATAGTGCTGTACGTGTTCCTTAAAGGGGTCCAGCCTAGTGAGGGACATTCGAAACATGGCATGTCCATTTGATTTTTGACCTATTGTAGCGGCTTGTGAGTATCCCCATTTTGTATTTGAGTGTTACAGGTCAGACCAAATCATAAACGAATGATTAGCGAACAGACAAAGACAAAGTCTTACCTGAGCATAATTGCTGATACCGACGGTGCCAATGTCACCTTCTACTCGCACCCACTCGTGCTTATCTGTGAACTTTAAAGCTGCACAGAATCAAAGCAAGAACAAAGATCAACAGGTAAAATATTTAGTTCATAGCATTATTTTCTAAAGACACTTATGGCGGAACCTCAAATCAGTCGCACAATTCAGAATTTGACAGACATTTTATTTAGTATTGGTTGATCCTTTACTAATCCATATAGATATATTTTTTTCAAACAAGTTAAAACATTCACTGAACGAACACACTTCTAATGTCAACACTTTTGTGTTCGGTACAACCTTTAAAAATACTTGTGCAAATCGGGATTGTGCACGTTAAGTGTAGTACCAAGTACAGTCAAGTAAAAAAAAAATACTAATATGTTTTATGCACTCGATGAGTCTAAACGTGGCATTTTGAATTTGTAGAATATGAATTAAGGAGAAACATCCACACACTTGTATCCACCTGGGGGGGGGGCAGTCATTTTGCCACTTTGCTGTCAACTGAAAATGACATCAGCCTAAGGTTCAGCAGCACCCCCTTTTCTGGGTTTTAACGAATTCACCATTAGAGTGGTTCTACGATGAATTAGAACAGTGCGAGTGTTTCATTCCCCAGTGCTGGCACCATTTCAGCATGCAGACAAATACAGGCTTGAACCAGACTGTAATATGTTGATGCATGGCTGGGAGAGCACAGTCAGGGATGCCGTCCCCAAGTGAGAAGGCCTCAATACATGGCTTCTACACGGAATTCTTTCAAAGGTACTGTAACAATACACAAACAAACACTGTCGCAGAAACTTACTTACACGTGTGCGTGCTAACATTCATTTTACTTAGGATGGCTGGCATACGTTTACCGGGTTGCTACATATTGCACAAGCAGACATATTTGTTAGGATTGACAGGTCACTTGATTGAAAGCGTCAGACTGAAGAAGTCATGCTTAGTTGTGCGTTAGCATTGCTAACAGGCTGCTGCTAATCTTCAACACGAGTTAAAAGTTTGTGTCTGACCAGCGAGTCGAACGTGACGTCCACTTCCGCTTGGGATTGTGAACCCCAATTCCCAAGTGTTTTACCTTCGGCGCGGGAGGTCGTAGTGCTCAGTGTCCTCGCCGCCCACACCAGCCGTGTCGCTGGGAGAGCCGCGGTGGGCGACAGCTGGGGAAGTCCGGAGGTCAAGTTTGCGGAGAGGCACCGCAGCGCCGCTCTCATCGCCATCTTCACTCCGTGTGGGTGAGCGTGGGAGCCGGCGCACATACACTTGACCTCGGGAGCGCGCATCATCAATTGGGGAGGGGACGGGCTCTCGTTTTTGCTGACATCTAGCGGCCAATACGCAGATTCGAGTCACAGCAAGTAGCAAGCTCAGACAAGACATTGTATGATTTCTTTTTCCGCGCTATAGGGGCGTCACTAGGTTTCAAGAACAAGGGGGGCTTAGCCCCAAGGGGACCACAGCCCCTTTAGGGGGGTCCGGGGGCATGCCCCCCCGGGAGAAATTTTTTCTACATTCTGTTAAAAATCCATCAATTCCGTGCACTTTGAGAGAAAAATGAAGAGGTTATGAAGAACTACACGCATCACATTAGTATCCTCTTTACTATGATGGGGCTTCCTCCCCTGGACTTTAACTGGACTAGATAATAGAAATTATAAAGAGTTCAAAAGTTCAATCTTGGTTGTTCAAGGGAATTAGAAGGATGCCCGATAACATAACCTATATGACAGTAGGCCTATATTCCTCTCTACCAAAATGTATTAATATATGCTTAGCCCCCAGAAGACTATGTATTTTGAGATGTCTGCCTTGATATGCAATTTAAGTTAGTACAATGAGATGCAAAAGCTTCATCACTTTGGAAAAACACAAGTTTGCTGCTCAATACTTACTGTAAGCTCCGATTGCATTTTGGGAACAGCCTTGCAAGTAAAATTAGCCTTGAGATCTGATAGACTCACCTGTCC